TTCTGGACGAAGCTGTCTTGTAAGACACCAAGAGAGCGCTGAACGCACGAAGTGGATCGTCGATCCTACGGAATCCTTTGAATCCGTACTATCCTTTGGTAAACGAATTTCAAGACATCGTCTCCAAAGAACCGCCTTCGGTCCTACCTCCGGACCGAGGTGTGCGTCATGATATCGACCTGGTTTTGGGAATCAAATACTGCGTAACACGCCAATGGCCACTGCCCAAGGAGCAGTGCGACGTCATTGACGCATTTGTACGTGCGACGCACGACGCAGGGATGGAATGTGAGAACAAGTCTCCCCATTCGTCACCCACGTTTTGTGTTCGGAAGCCGAACGGCAATGGCGTATCGTTCATGCTTCCAATAAGCTCAACGCTGCCACCATTCCGGCACAGACGCCGATTCCTAGAAAGGATTTTCTTCAGATCAACATGGTGGGATGTTCGAAGTACAGTGCACTCGAATTGGTAGATGGGTATTACCAATTGCTCATGAAAACGAGTGACATTCCGCTGACAGTGGTGAGCACGCCAAGCGGCATGATCTGGAGCGGCTGGTGATGCCCCAAGGGCTGTCAAATTCACCAGCAACTTCTAATCGTCTTGTGACGCAGTTTTTCAGGCCCCACAGGGTGTATGCACATACATGCTTTAACAAAATTTCGTTCACAATCGTGCAGGGCATAGGAGGACGGATGAGGAGAACCACATCGTCCATCCAAGAGTTGTGCTCGAGTGCATGCGCGAACGAACAAACTGCACGCCAGTGTAGACAAGTGCACCTCTGACGCGGAAAAGCTTCCTTTTTTAGAGTGCTTCATTGAGAAGCGTGGCCTTCGGACGGATCCCGCTAAGGTCAAGGCCATTGTCGACTGGCCTGTTCCAAAGAACCAGAAGGACGTGCGTAAGGGGCTTGGTCACGCCAACTACTTGCACAAGTACAGCGTGAACTACGCAGGAATGGTCCGGCCATTATCCAACCTCCTTTAAAGGATGCGGAATGGTGTTGGAACCCTGAACATCGGAGGCATTTGACGGAGTCAAAGACAGCCTCCTGCATGCACCAATACTGGTGCTGCCAGACCCTGATCGTCCTTTCAGCATCGTCTATGACGCTTCGGACTTTGCCATCGGCTGTGCACTGCTGCAAGCAGACGCCGAGGGACGAGATCGGGTGATCGCGATCAAATCTCAACAGCTCAAAGGTGCAGAGAAGAACTACCCAGTTCATGACAAGAAGCTACTTGCCATGAAGAATGCACTTGCCAAGTTCACGGCCCACCTGCTCGGCTCCAAGCCGTTTGTGATCTATACAGATCATGCGTCACTACGCACTGCGGCTCAGTCGCCCCACCTCTCACAGAGGATGGCTAGATGGCTATACGTTTCTGCGGAATATAACTCTGAGGTGAATTATAAGCCGGGAAAGCAGAATGCTTTGGTCGACGCGTTGTCACGCAGAGCAGACTATGAGCTAGCTCATGTTACAACTTTAACGTCGTCTGAGACGGACTTGATCCGCACCGCGTATGCGGGTGACGGGATGTATGAAGCGCTCCCACCGGCTCTCGGGAGCAAGGAGTTTTGAGACTTGGACAAGAAATTGTCACCAAGACTGCGCGCACGTTTGCACCGATATTCGTTGAATAACGGCCTGCTATATTATAGCACCGACTCAACGGATATACCACGAATTGTGGTTCCTCATGATGAGAATTTGAAATACCGCA